AGGGAGGTTCAGACCTACTACATTGTAAATAAGTAAGTTATTGATTTCAAGTCCAGAATATACTTACCACATAGGAAAGGTCCGCACTTGCTTTTTCCCCAGTCTGTTCCTGTTTATTGGGGTGGCACACGGAACAGCATCTAGATGATGTGAACTGCTAGGAACTGTTGGAACCCAATTGTTTCTCTTGGATTTATAATCCCTGTTCCTATAAAGGTCAAATGACTTCCTATAAAACTCAGCTTGAGGAGTAAAATGTATCAATTTACAATTATCTATTGCTTAGAACTCTGAATTATGTAGAATTTAATTTGGCCTTACATTTGGTAAGAAGAGTCACTGTTGATGGAGACAGTTTTAAACATATCATCATTTCCTTCAAAGATGGCATCCACTTCACTGGCCTTCAGGAGTGTAATGTTTGTAGCTAAGGATGGGGCTCCAGTGTCTGAAAGTAATTGTCAGGAAAATTAATTACTATATTTGTAAACAAACCTCTAAAAATACATGTTTACATCCAGAATACTTGTAATTATTTTAAAATAAGGTCTAATGATTTTGAACTATTGACTCTTACAGGTTTCACTTATGAATTACTCATCCAAACTGATGTAAAATAATGTCATCCCATACACATTTCTCATAATAATGGGTCACTTTTGTCCATCACACAGTTTTGAAGTTATTATTTACAAGTTGTGTTTTGCACTGGTGAGTTGAATGCTTTACACAGAAAATTCTCACACCTCATTTCTATTTTGCTCCCTCATTACAAGTAAATTGTTTCTCTTTCCAGATACACAAATAATCTGGTAAATCCCAGTGTGTCTGCCAGGCTATACTGGCAACACATAGGCCTAATAAAAAATACGATATCACATACTGCTCAAAGAAATAAGAACATGTAATATTTACAAGTAACTCACCTTTAACTAACATGACTTTGAAATATATGAACTTTGTATAAAGTCTAACATAATGTCTTTATATATATATTAACTTACTAAGCTCCGAGATCCTCTTCCTCTCTTCCACAGTCAGCAGTCTCCTCCACATGGACGGATACTTCTTGTATAGAGACCCTCGGAACATCCGCAGATAATTCCCCACCTTTGTAAATAAAACAGTCAGCATTATTTACTAGTAAAATAGATACAGTAATCAAAGATTACAATGTTTACTTCAATAATTATACAAAGTCTCAATAACTATGTAAGATCCACTAGAAACAAGTTTCCAACCAGACCTTTCATTTAAATGTACATACAACTGCTTTCACATTGATTTACCGTCATATTCTGAGAATGACAACACGCAGAAAACTACCATAATAATTAACATAACAGATATATATTTGTTTTAGTAGGAATGTATGTTCATTTGCCCTAAAACGTATTTTACCTTGATGCCTTTCACCCTTATTCTCATTCACCCAGTCTGTTGGCTATAAAACTCATTTGCGCAAGTTCTATTCACCTTCAATATTTCAGTTATTTAATTTTCTTAATCTGTATTAATTATTTAGAAAATTAAATAACGAAAATATCTTCACTGATGAATTGTTATATTAATGAATTTTGACAGGGTTCAAAAGATAAATGGTGAACAGGTTAAAGGGAGAACAGGATTTACAGCAAATGAACTTTGAATGGACTCATGTGAACAGGTAAATGGGGCAAACGGACCTGATATGATTTTGCAGATTAATTATGTACTGGTGGTAGATTGAATCGATGTTGTTTTATGTCCCATTCCAGAATTTTACTATTTTATTACACACTTAGTAATAAATACAGGTTTTTTGCATATGCGATATGGCTGACGTCACAATAGCCGTATCAACCCTGCAGGGCTGATATGGATTTGCGGGGCTGATATCCGTATCAGCCCTGCAAATCCATATCAGCCCTGCACTGATACGGCTATTGTGACGTCAATATCACACCCTTAGTAAATTAAACCACAATAACAGTACTTGTGATCATATTTTTGGTGGGTTCATAAATTTTAACTTTTTGAAAATAAGGTTAATCTTAATTTACAAATACATGTAATGCTATAGAATTTTTCAAATTAAGGATCAAATGCATTGAAATTATATGAGACATGGTACATGGTAAGAAATTGAATTATTTACTTATTTTCTTCTCAACTGAATGTGTTCTGTATTTTATGTATGTAATAAATATAATAAAACATACCACATCACATCCTGTATCAGAATTTTATATTGGTGTCATACTGTGATATGGAAAAGGGTATGTATTATTCTCTATATAAAGAGACTTCACCATAATATACTGGTGAAGGGTTTAAAATTTTTGAAATTTACATGGCACTCATGGCCATTGAACAGTGAGGTATTTTAATGTGCCAACATCTATCCTGACAAGAAGCCTCTGTTTTCAAAGTCTTATCCAAATGACCTGCAACTATGAGTATGACTTCAAAGTGCATGTCTAATGCATGGCATATCACATAGGAACAGTTGCTACCATCATCAGTCAAGATTCGAACCCAATACCTTCCAATCATTAAGCCCAGTCACTTTATTTAAGCAATCACTATTCCGACTGAGCTACCACGGTGGTTATTTATATAGTGGAGGAAAAATTTTGCTATGAAACACTTATACATTCATTTTCCTAGAATTTTTTGTTCAACACATTTTAAATTTCATGATTGGTAGTTTTAAACTTTTGAATGATGCATTCTAACAGGTCTGGTACAATCACTAGATTTAGCTACGTAGCTTGATTTACCTACTTAGCTTGATTTACCTACCTGAGGTAGCTTTATTTAGCTACCAAATCAATTTATTTCTATAAAAAGCATTTTTCTCAGGATGTGAAGAAAATTTCATTTTGATGCAGTGATCATTTTCAACTTTGAACTCATCTGAAAACAATTCATGAAAAAATCACTCTTGAAGAAACGTCTTTTTCTGCGCAACTGCAATCAAAGTTCTAAAAGTTTTGGGGCTATGTATGACAGTTAGAACAGTTACTCCCTGAATGAAATGACAAAGAAGTCCAGTTCTGGTTAACATGATAATAGGTTGGTAATTATTCAGCACAATGAAGTCATCATACTCAGTCATGCCTCACCACACCCAAGAGAGAGGACAGTTACCCAAACAATGGAATTACATGTTTCACTCTAAATTGTCCAAACACAGCAATTTATAAACTATCTCTGCTTTGAATTGTTCTTTTTTAAACCTCCCTAGTATAAATATTAGCGAGCGCAACGAGCGCCGCAATGCGACGCTCGTCACTGCAAGCTCTTAAAGCACCGCCTGTGCGAAGAGAAAATTCGGACTACTGCACATTCATTCGATAGAATTTTTTGATGCAGTAATTTGGACCCACAATGCATCACTTGTTAAAGCTACGTTCTCACGAGAATAGCAGCAAAAGTTCAACTTAAAGTAAAGATGCCGTGATTTAATGGATAAATATTGAAGATAAATAGTAATTAACGAAACGTTCTTCATTTACTTTCAGCATTGTTCAGGCTTCTTTTTGGAAAAGTAACTTACATACGATGTCATGTGACGTCAGAGTCTAGATGCACCAAATATTTGCATTGAAATAGCTAAACAAAGCTACCTGAGGGACGTAGGTAACTCTACCCAGGTAGCTAAATCTAGTGATTGTACTGGACCTGTCTACATTTCATATTTGTACAAAGAGCCATTACCAGGTCCAGTACAATCAGTACATTTAGCTACGTAGGTAGAATTACCTACGTAGCTTTATTTACCTACCTCAGGTAGTTTGATTTAGCTACCAAATGAATTAATTTCTATAAAAAAGTATTTTTCTCAGGATGTGCAAAAACTCTCATTTTGATACAGTGATCATTTTCAACTTTGAACTCATCTGAAAACAATTCATGAAAAAATCCCACTTAAAGAAATGTCTTTTTCTGCACAATGGCAAAGTTCTGAAAGTTTTGGGGCTATGTATGACAGTTAGAACAGTTACTCCTTGAATGAAATGACAAAGAAGTCCAGTTCTGGCTAACATGATAATAGGTCGGTAATTATTCAGCACAATGTGAAGTAATCATACTCAGTCATGCCTCACCGCACGGACAGATAACCAAACAATGGAATTACATGTTTTGCTCTAAATTGACCAAACACAGCGATGTTTAAACTATCTCTGCTTTGGAATGTATTTTAAAGTCTCCCTAGTATAAATATCAATAGTCATTTAACTGCGATTTTTTGTCTCTTTTCCATAAAAAGAAAAGTTACATTGAAATAGCTAAATAAAGCTACCTGAGGTAGGTAAATAAAGCTACGTAGGTAATTCTACCTACGTAGCTAAATGTACTGATTGTACTGGACCTGATTACATATGCAAGGGTCTTAGGTGGAGATTTTATTGATAATTATGGAAACGTACTATGTGTCCCTGATTCAGTGATTGTTTTGATCAGAGACCTATATCTATATACTAACTATACTTAGACTAGTATATAAGTCCCCGTTTTAATATTGAAAAATTTCAGATGTCTGCGAGTATACGCACACATTTCTTACCCAAGTTACCGTCCAAAAGATAGTGTAAATTGATTTTTAATTAAATGCATAATTACAGCTTTTATTTACCTCCGATCCAATGTAATAAAACTCGCCATCTTCCTCTATTTGAAAGGGTCTCGGTTTTTCTCCAAAGGTCTTTGTGCCGAACACCGCCATGTTGAACGCAAATCTGTGAGCGCCCTCTGTTGGATATTATTTAAATTAACTCGTCCCAAAATTCATTCAACTTAACACGTTATACGCCTAATTTTGTCTTTTTACGAATCTAATGCTTTCAAAAGTAATGTTTGTTTCAGTTTCAGAGTGAATATGACATAGGCCTACAAAGCAAAGGATTATTGAACAGCAAGAATCGCACATATTAGAGAGAGCAGACAAATCTTCTTTCACTTTCACTCTTACGAAATGTCAATAAATGACATGGAATGCAAGGTTTATTTTTTAAAGAAACTTCACACAGAGGGTCAAGGTCGGAGTTGTATGAGAAGAACATGTTCAGCCCGTGATATTTTGTACATTTCTACGTACATCTTTTGATCAGTAGATTAAGCTGGAAAATTACAGTAGTGGACTGTGGAGTGTAGACAAACTAAATAGTGCACGGGAATATCAAAAACCAGCAGGTAAGATAATACAGTCATTCTAATCGAATATCATATTCGTCTCCAAACTTCCAAAAACAGATTTTAATTAGTTATCTCTTGACTCTGCTAATGAATTATTCTTAAATGAAGCTATAGTATAAAAGAGCAAGAGCCATCTTTTGCATAAAATGGCCCTGTACTTATATCAATTAATTATCTATCACCCTCTTTCCATTTACATATATCAAAATAAAGTAGACACTTGGTGCTTTCATGTTCTATAATGAAATTTCGTTTTGAGAATCCAAATATTTGAAAACAGGCTTTGAGAAATTGCAATGTTCTTGAAATTTGCAGAAAACATGCATATTTGACTACCTTCAGCAAAGAATTTAAATATGAGCACAGCCCACGATCCAAAAAATAAAACATGTTTTTTGATCTTCAGAAATAGGCCTTTCATTATGTATTGGCATATTTTGGATCAGAGGTTGTGCTCTATATGAAATATTGAAAAAACGCTTCATCTTTAGGTCATTTTCAAAGGAATTTACAGGATATGAGGAAAATGACGCATTTTATGACGTCATAATGCATTGACTAGATGTGAAATTACGTCACAATTAACAGATATGTGGTCACCAACAGTCCAAGTGATAAATACTGCATTTGCAACCTAAACTGAGCGGTTTTGAATTTTCAGAAATTCTCAGGGCCAAATATAGCCCAAAGTGGCTCTACCTCTTTGATATTGCAGTATCATACTATAAGTTAATTTCAAAAATCAAAATTCTAAAAAGACAAATGCATTGGCTTGATCTTAATAAATTCACAATCCCCATAAATAAAATATATAAACAGTATACCAAATAACAATCTTTTTGAAAGAATGATACCTTTACAATTTAGTTTTAACAGATTTGAAATGTTGAAAAGGAATTATACATGTACATTTAATATATTGATTGCTTTTAGTAAATAATCCATTTGTATTTTGGGGTTATTTCCCCTAACTCTTGAAATAAGCAGAATCCAGTCAGAACTAGTTACTTTGGTAATCTAGAGACTGTATTGATTTCATTTATTATAATATTAACCTGCATCAGCGTTTAAGATTGCAAGAACTCCTCTCAGCCAGCAACTACACGCATGGAAATATCAAGAACGTGACAAGCCTAGCAATGATTAGTGAAATTGAGTGAGGGAATTCATTCTCTTCTATTAAATACAATTTTTATGGAAAAAAGGATGAGTATAAGGCTTGTGTAAAATTTACAGAGAATGAGAGAAAAGAAATTGAATTTCCAACCCACTAAACACTCAATAGTATAGCCCCCAATTTTTTTAGGACAATGTCCACTCCTAAGAAGCTCCGCCTGATCACTTACCTGTCCCCGGGGATCCCCATTGAGGTGTTTGAGCTCCTCCTGCACTACCTGGAGGAGGTGACAGGGCTGGAGGGGTACCTGATGACTGAGTCTCGCTGGCAAGGTCCGCCCCCTGACAGGAGGGACCCCTTCACAGAGGACGACGCCGATATCGGTAAAATCATCTGAACTTTAGAACCTATGTATTCAACTCACAGATACAGTTTTATTAGAACCAACACATTTTATTAAATCAGGATTTATGAGCAGTTCAGCCTACTTGCGTTTGAAACAAGAAGGGAACAAATATCTAGAACTGTGTTCCGCAGCTCCTGTACACCCACACACTAAGGGAGGTAATGAGCCAGTGTACTACTCTGATGTGGTGGTCAGTGGTAGTAAAAAGTAAGTACACAACTTTAAGAACTCCAATTGAAGTTTTTTGTTTTGTTTTTAGCTCACCTCGATGAAGTCGAGAGGAGCTTATGCTATACCCCCGGCGTCGGCGTTAGCGTCGGCGTCCCGGTTAAAGTTTTAGGAGCAGGTCCATTCCCAAGTAACTATAAGCCCTACCTGGACCAAACTTGCATGGATGATGCATCTAGGGATGGACACTACCAGACTTGCTTTGGATGCTGGATCTGACCTACATTTTCCAGATGAGTGACCAGTTAAAGTTTTTGGAGCAGGTCCATTCCCAAGGAACTATAAGCCGTACCCGGACCAAACTTGCATGGATGATGCATCTAGGGATGGACACTACCAATAGTAACCATACTTGCTTCGGATGCTGGATGTGACCTAAATTTTCCAGATGAGTGACCAGGTTATAGTTTTTGGAGCAGGTCCATTCCCAAGTAACTATAAGCCCTACCCGGACCAAACTTGCATGGATGATGCATCTAGGGATGGACACTACCAGACTTGCTTCGGATGCTGGATGTGACCTACAATTACCAGATTAGTGACTAGATTATTCCCAAGTAGCTATAAGCCCTACCGGGACCAAACTTGCATGGATAATGCATCTAGGGATGGACACTATGAGACTTGCTTCGGATGCTGGATGTGACGTACAATTACCAGATTAGTGACTAGATTATTCCTAAGTAACTGTAAGCCCTACCCATACCAAACTTGCATGGATGATGCATCTAGGGATGGACAATCGAAACTTGCTTTGGATGCTGGATCTGATTAACAATTTCCAAACGAGTGACGAGGTTAAAGTTTTTGGAACAGGACCATCCCCAATGAATTTTAAGACCTATTTAAACAGAACTTGCTTGAATATTGTCAGAATAAAAACCAACTGTTAAGAAAATATGATGTGAGATTTGCATTACCTAAACTGATAACATTCGTCGAGGTGATCTTCATAATCTTTGATTACCTATGTTTCTAGTTTTGTTATGCCCCTCAAAGAAGGTAGGGCAAATTGTTTTTTTGCTGCTGTTTGTAGGTCAGTCTGTTCACTTAGTTTCTGTTCATTTTCTTCACAACCGTTGCACATACTGAAATGAAACTTGGTATACAGATTTATCACCAGAATATATTTAGGTCAAGTCTGGTTTTGGGTACGATTGGCACATTTTGGACAGAGTTATGCCCCTTGGACTTAGAAAAATTCCAATAATTTGCAGTTTCCCATTTTTGACAGAGTTATGCCCCTTGGATTTAGAAATGGGGGATAGAAAGGGGCGGCCATGTACAAAGGAATAGATAAGAATCCGTTAAAAATCTTTGTCTCGAGAACAACAAATCCATGATAAGTCATATTATACAAGAGCATCCTCAGGTATTGTAGAATCAAGTTTGTTTAAATCAAGACTCCAGGGTAGGGCGGGACCACAATAGTATATGGGGGAAAATGCATAATGAACATCAGAACCATATAAACTCAGGTGAGCATTAAGGCCTTTGGGCTATTTATTTTACAAGGTACCATGCACAAAGTTTCATTAAAATTTTCATTTGGAAGAAAAAAAAACAAACAAATTAAAAAAAGGCATGAAATTTGATCGATTTTGTTTTAAATATGTAGGGCAAGTTACACCACATTTGTGGACCTAAAAGGACAGACCTTTGCTTTCAATGATCCAGTCTCATTGAGTGGAAGTCTGATAGTTCTAGGCAATCTCAAAAAAATGGGCTACAATTCCAATTTCTTTGGCAACATGCTGCATTCAGGTATGTCAGATGGAACTGTTGATTTGTTAAGGGTTCATTCTCTGTTGTCATCTATGATTACCAAACTTAATGATCTTTCTGGATTGGTGTGTATTACTTTAAAGCTTTCAGCCTTTGTTTTACAGGTTCCCATTTGAACTCCATACGGATGATACTCGACAGTAAGGCGGATGTGGCAGCCGTTGACTCTAATGTTCTGCAGTATTATCTCAAACAAAATCCACAAAACAGTGAAAACTTGTCAGTCTTAACTTCATTTGGACCATTGCCAGTTTATCCTATCATCTTCAATTCGCGACTTAGCAGTAAGCTTTCTATTTATATCTTAACTTTATTCTATAATTACACAGAACAAAGGTTACTACTTCTTTAAAAAATCATATTTCACATATTCTAAAAATAATAGCGAATTATGCAGGCATATAAACAAATACCAGAGAATGAAAAAAACTGTTTTTTTAAAGAGGAACTACACGTATAATTGAAATGGAAGCTCCTCTCCTCATTTTATGCAAAAATTCATTTCTTGAACAGTGTGATACAGAGTAATTTGTTTATATCCTTTAGTGGACTTCAAGAAGCAGATATCAGATGCCTTGCTGAGAATGCATAAGTTACCCGAGTGGCGATCCCAGATGAACGAATGCAACATTCAGAACTTTGCGGAGATGGACGAATCTTTATATAACCTTGAAACTGGACTCATGGATGTTGTCAAGGGGCTTAGCTTATCTAATGTCTACTATTGACCATAACAACATTTTTATTTGCTGAAGTCTGCTTTCAAAACAAATTCTCTGTTCATTATGATGGTCAGATTTGAAGTTTGAAATTGGCTACTAAAAGTACCAAAGAATTGAACTCATGAAAAGAACTGTCAAAAAATAATCAGGTTGTAAATGGGACAAATTTTTATTTACACACCTACATTTTTACCTCTTTTTATTATGCATTTGATGCAGATATTTATAAAAGCCACCAATAATATTTTTGTGCCATTTATTTTTATGGGGGGATAGTGGGCAAATAGCAATATTTCATCATCCTGTATAACCGCATGAAATATCAATGATAGTTATATGTCATGATAAGTATATTTTTGCAGTTGCAATTGTAAACTCTACATACATGTATATTTATAAAAGGTTGTTTTTACACATTCCTGATATTGTTGATTCAGGTGGCATTAATAATAAAATATAAACTTTTAAGTGTTTGAATTTATTTGACATTTATTGCAATGGTAAATATATTTGGCAAACACAAATCTATACGGTTTATTACATAAGTATCACAGTTCTCTGTATTGTGTAGCACAGTAGTCGTTTGGCCAATTGACTCCACTATCGTTTTTCTCTTTTATGAAAAAATGACAGGAAATTGATTAGTTCAACAAGCATGTTATACAGGTATTAGTCTTTCCAGAACTAGTCCAGGACCACCAGAAGAGATTTAGTTGCTTTTATCAGCTCCAACAGCTAAGTCACATATGTCAAGTGCTTGTTTGAAATAATTCTGGTTCATCTATGAGGCACATTTTTTTTTAATCATATATCACAGTCTTGTATATAACCTCTCTACACCAAAACTAACTGAGTAGCAGGTAGTTCTTGTAACAAACACAACCTATGACTCAAAGTTTTCAACCAATTCAAATATCCCATAACAGAAGTTAAATTCAGTCTAGTTCTTCACTGAACTGTTGGTAGGATATATAAAATTCACTCCAATATGGTTTGCATCATTTGAGCCTGGGGTCTTGGTCGGTACAGATATGGGTCATTGAGCATATAGGACACGACAGAGCTTGGTCTTCCCTGAAGAATTTCATCAGGGGCAAGAGTTTCGACAACTGACATGGCATTGGGAGAAATGTGGTGAACATCAGCTGCTAGACTGTCTTGTACAAAGCGCATCATGTGTTTTACTTCTTCCAGTCGGAAAAGAGTCTGTGAATGAAACATAGTTCTGTTAGTTTATAAAATAAGCATAATCATTTGAGTATTTTAAATTGATAGAAAGTAGATCATGATGTCACATAAATGCAGTTAGGATTTGGGAGGTAATATAAGAAAAAATCTTGTAGGTTTTTACTTCATGGAATTTCAATTATTCAGAAAGGATGAATTTTCATTTCTTAAATTTCTTCCATATTTTATAAAATTGCAAGATTACAGGGCCAAATTTGTATTGAAACTGTACCTTGTTCTTTAAGAAAAAAGGAGAAAATCATCTGAATATGTGATTGGATGAAAATAGCACAAGATGAATCTTTCTCTTCATACCGGTACTTAGCACACACAGCATAAACTGACTGTGAAAGTATCTACTATATGTGTCTTGCCATGTGCATTATTTTGAAAGTTACCTCTGTATTGAATGCGAAGTAGAAGTTGTCCAGTCTAGGGTCCTCCTCAATGCAGGTTTTGAGTTTAGCTTTTAGGAATTCTGTTAAGGGAGTTCCAGTCATGAAGATTCTGGCTTGAGTGACCTCCACCAACTTCTTATGGAAAACCATAGTCATTCTTCCAAAGATTGCTTCATCCACTGTGCACTGAATCACAAGACCACAAAAAGTTGTAAAATGGCTAATAATGATAGAAGGAATTTCCATCATTTCATTTTATACCTATCTTCCCAAGAAAGAAACAATTCAAGCTGAACATTAACAAAATCCCAACGATGAAATGCATTAATTACATAGGTGTATTTTCATGTACCTCAAAGTCTGGAATCACCCCATAAGGCAGAGGTTTGCTGGGTGTGCGTCTCTTTCCCTGACTCTGACTCTGGCTGTTTGCTGTAGCCTCCCTGCTGCGATTTTTACTGATGTACTCGTGGGACTCCATAGTGATGACCAGGAGATCCTGTAAGGCGTCGATCATAGAGATGAGGTACTCCACCTGCCCCGCCATGCTGTGTAACATCCTCCAGGACTCCACAAGGTGGACCTGATCCTGTGTATAAGGAGAAAATTTACAACTGTTATCATCAGCAAAATGTTTACTTCATTGTTTGTTTAATGTCTGTCTGGTCTGTCTTGATTTTTTACACTTAAAATTTTCAAAATCTCAAAAACAATTGCAAATAAACTTGGCATATACATGTAACTAGCAAGTAATAGGTAAAATTACCCGATTCATCAGGCTTTTGAGCAGCAGCCCTCTGTGGACAGTCATCCAATCACAGCGGTCCTTAGATACAGAGATCATCTTATCCAGAAACTGCTGGGCATTCCTGACATTAGTCGTGTTCATAGGATCCCCCCCATTGGAAGGTCCACCATTTTGGTAATGGAATGCTGCCTAAAAATAAAAATTTCAAGACTGCTTATCCAAACTCTCCTGAATTTTGAAATATTAAAAACCTCAAAATTTGGGATTTTTAATTAGATATTTGACTTTTTTTTTTTTTTTTTTTTTTACAATTATTTACCCTGTCTCTGGAGAGGAAGACACTCTGATGGAAGGCTACAGGGTTATCTGGATAGAAGATCTCACCACTTCAATAGTCAAAATCATACAGATATGAAAATAAGTTACCAATCAAGGAGACAGAACGAAAACCATTGTACATGAATAAAAAACAAAATAATAAACACTGTATTAGCCATGAAAAAAATCAACAAGAGGCCCATGGGCCACATCGCTCACCTGAGAAGCTTTGACCATTCTGTTCTTTACCAGATTTCACCCTTGTTATACATAATGCATCCCCACCCTACCCCACTGATCATAATTTAGACATTTTGAAATCTACACTACCCCATGATCCTTCCATGGGCACATATGTTTCAGCTTTTTTGGCCAAGTGGTTCCTGAGAAGAAGATTTTCAAAGATTTTTCCTATATATTTCTATATAAAACTTTGATTCCCCATTGTGGCCCCGCCCTTCCCCCGGGGGTCATTATTTGAACAATTTAAAATCTACATCATACCAGGATGCTTCCACATAAGTTTCAGCTTTTCTGGCCCAGTGGTTCTTGAGAAGAAGAATTTCAAAGATTTTTCCTATATATTTCTATGTAAAACTTTGATACCCCATTGTGGCCCCGCCCTTCCCCCGGGGTTCATGATATGAACAATTTGGAATCTACACTATACCAGGATGCTTCCATATAAGTTTCAGCTTTTCTGGCCCAGTGATTCATGAGAAGAAGATTTTCAAAGATTTTTCCTATATATTTATATGTAAAACTTTGATACCCCATTGTGGCCCCGCCCTTCCCCCAGGGGTCATGATTTGAACAATTTAGAATTTACACTATACCAGGATGCTTCCATATAAGTTTCAGCTTTTCTGGCCAAGTGGTTCTTGAGAAGAAGATTTTCAAAGATTTTTCCTATACATTTCTATATAAAACTTTGATTCCCCAATGATTTGAACAATTTAGAATCTACATTATACCAGGATGCTTCCACATAAGTTTCAGCTTTTCTGGCCCAGTGGTTCTTGAGAAGAAGATTTTCAAAGATTTTTCCTATATATTTCTATATAAAAATTTGATTCCCCATTGTGGCCCCGCCCTTCCCCCAGGGGTCATGATTTGAACAATTTAGAATCTACACTATACCAGGATGCTTCCACATAAGTTTCAGCTTTACTGGCCCAGTGGTTCTTGAGAAGAAGATTTTTTAATGACCCCACCCTATTTTTGTCTTTTCTTGATTATCTCCCCTTGCGAGGTAATATGTCCCTTCATTTTAACAATTTAAATTTCCCTTTACCCAAGGATGCTTTGTACCAAGTTTGGTCAAAATTGGCCCAGTGGTTCTTGAGAAGAAGTCGAAAATGTGAAAAGTTTACAGACGGACAGACGGACGGACAGACGGACTGACAGACGGACGGACGACGGACAAAATGTGATCAGAAAAGCTCACTTGAGCCTTCGGCTCAGGTGAGCTAAAAACAGTTAACTTTGGTTTCTGTCCTACTTACTCTAGCTCATCATCTGTGATAAAGTGGAGAAGGAAGTACTTTCTGACAGGAGTATATCTCCAGTTATCCATCAAAATGAAGGCCTGAAGGAATATTAAGAATTTAAGTACATTCTATAAGGTTCATCTGCTTTATAATTTCGTTATTCCATGAAAGAAAAAAATGCATCAAGGGGAGTAACTCTATTATATATTTTTGCATCCAGAAGTTCATAATTTTAGAACAATCATAAACTTTCTTTCTTTTTTCTTACCAAGTACATTTAGATGCTCATGCCTTCAATGTTTGTTACCTTTAAGAAGACAGGTTCACTCCTGGTGGTAGCACCAACCAGCATGTCCATGAAAGCTTGCTTCCGAACCAGGACCTCCTCCCAAGACCACTTCTCCTCCCCGAAAAACACCCCCACCACAGGAATCGTGTTCTTCATCACCATGTCATTAATGTGGTTATAAACTGAAACCAAACATTGACCTTAAGAGGATATCAACTGTAATCAAATTACTACGAAACAAACTTTGAACATCCGAGTATTATGAGGAATCAACACAAATTTTACTCATCAATCATTATAACTGTAAAAATCAATCTCTTGAAAAAAGAATTACATCAGAAGTGCTTATAGATAAAAGATGGTAATAACAAATGTTTTGTCAAAATTTTAAAATAAAATTAAAATTTAAAAACACTTGTAATTTATAACTTTATAATCATACCCATTAGAGCAAACAGCTGGATAGCGTCCCCTGAACAACCTGGTGGGCCTTGTATGTAATAGTGTTCATGCAGCTCCACTTCATTCAAGAATGGTTGCATCTTGCCATATAAGATACTAGGACCACTCAAAGCAAGACAGATTCCAGCCTATAACAGGTACAAAGTGATTACTTGTTGGGTTTGTTAGTGACTTACTACTGAAAAAAAGGATTAACAGTACTATAGGAAACCCTGAAAGGAAACTTCACTGCATATGTACATGTATCGTAATGAATTTTAATCAAATTTATTCCGACTTCTTATTCTTGGAATTACGAGTCTATACCCTGTAAGCTCCTTTCCTCTGTATGTAGTTTTGCTGGACAAAGAGCTGAATAATCTGCCCCAGTGGAAGAAATGCAACAGTGTCTAGTATTCGAAGAGCACTGGTGGTTCCTAGAAATCAAGACAGTAACAAGGCATTAGCTTTGATATATAGAACAAGAGGCCCATGGGCCACATCGCTCACCTGAGAAGCTTTGACCATTCTGTTCTTTACCAGATTTCCCCCTTGTA